TGGTGGACACTCCTGGTATGGTATGGTGGACACTCCTGGTATGGTATGGTATGGTGGACACTCATGGTATGGTATGGTGGACACTCCTGGTATGGTATGGTGGACACTCCTGGTATGGTATGGTGGACACTCATGGTATGGTATGGTGGACACTCCTGGTATGGTATGGTGGACACTCATGGTATGGTATGGTGGACACTCCTGGTATGGTATGGACACTCCTGGTATTGTATGGTGGACACTCCTGGTATGGTATGGTGGACACTCCTGGTATGGTATGGTGGACACTCATGGTATGGTATGGTGGACACTCCTGGTATGGTATGGTGGACACTCATGGTATTGTATGGTGGACACTCCTGGTATGGTATGGTGGACACTCCTGGTATGGTATGGTGGACACTCATGGTATGGTATGGTGGACACTCCAGATACACTGTATGCAGTATACTGAATACAGTGTGTGTGTGTGTGTGTGTGTGTGTGTGTGTGTGTGTGTGTGTGTGTGTGTGTGTGTGTTAGTGTGTGTGTATGTGAGTGTGTGTTAGTGTGAGTGAGTGTACTCGCACGTGAGTGTGCATGTACTCAGGGGAGGAAAGAGCACTCATAAATAAGGTACTGAGGGGAGATGACTGTCAACACACAACCACTGATTCTCTCTCTCTCTCTCTCTCTCTCTCTCTCTCTCTCTCTCTCTCTCTCTCTCTCTCTCTCTCTCTCTCTCTCTCTCTCTCTCTCTCTCTCTCTCTCTCTCACTCTCTATCTCTCACACTCTCTATCTCTCTCTTCTGTCTCCCTTTTTCTTATTTATTATTATTATTATTACTAGTTTCGGGAGGCTGGGGGACTGATCCCCTCATCTGCTACTGATCTTAAGACAGTCGTCGCCAGGAATCCAATAACAAAGTAATGCCGGACACCCGATTCCAAGGCTAGGAGGAGGGGAGCGCCCATCCCTTGGATCAAACAAGCCCATTCTTCCCTCCCCCACCCCTCCCTCCCTCCCCCTCCTCCCCTACTGTAAAAATTGAGTGTGGGGGGGGGATATTGCAAAGTAATTTGTCGCGTCCTTACTGACTGGACCAACTGGCCTTAATGACCGTGGTCGCCCCCCCCTCACCAAGGGGGAGGGGAAGGGGGCGGATGCTCCCCTCCCCCTTCCTAAATAGCTAATAAAACTACCGGTTCATAAAATGTAAGTGGGAAGGAGGGATCAGTGCCCCCCTCCCTCACTCCCTCTTAGGAGGGAGGGGGGGAGGGAGGGAGGGATTGTGGAGCAGACGTAAAACTAAACAGATTGGCTGACAGCCCGAGTGGCTGACAGCCCGAGTGGCTGACAACCCGAGTGGCTGACAGTTCGAGTGGCTGACAGCCCGAGTGGCTGACAGCCCGAGTGGCTGACAGCCTGATTGGCTGACAGCTCGAGTGGCTGACAGCCCGAGTGGATGACAGTCCGAGTGGATGACAGTTCGAGTGGCTGACAGCCCGAGTGGCTGACAGCCCGAGTGGCTGACAACCCGAGTGGCTGACAGTTCGAGTGGCTGACAGTCCGAGTGGCTGACAGCCCGAGTGGCTGACAGCCCGAGTGGCTGACAGCCCGAGTGGCTGACAGTCCGAGTGGATGACAGTTCGAGTGTCTGACAGCCCGAGTGGCTGACAGCCCGAGTGGCTGACAGTTCGAGTGGCTGACAGTTCGAGTGGTTGACAGTTCGAGTGGCTGACAGTCCGAGTGGCTGACAGCCCGAGTGGCTGACAGCCCGAGTAGCTGATAGTCCGAGTGACTGACAGTTCGAGTGACTGACAGCCCGAGCGGCTGACAGTCCGAGTGGCTGACAGTCCGAGTGGCTGACAGTCCTAGTGGTTGACAGCCCGAGTGACTGACAGTCCGAGTGACTGACAGCCCGAGCGGCTGACAGTCCGAGTGGCTGACAGTCCTAGTGGTTGACAGCCCGAGTGACTGACAGTCCGAGTGGCTGACAGTCCGGGCGGCTGAGAGAGAGGAGAGTGGGTGAGGGAAACACTGGCAGTCAGCCAAACTAATTGTGGGATAAATTATACCAAAGCCAGGATCCCTTGTGCTGCTATCATGGTCAGGGTGTCACGGTGTCAGAGTGTCAGGTTGTCAGTGCCAGGGTATCAGGGTGTCCGTGTGTCAGAGTGCCAGAGTGTCAAGATGTCAGAGTGTCAGGGTATCAGAGTGTCAAGGTGAAGGTTGGAAGAGCAGTCTGGTTCGATCACCTCGCCTGTGGTAATCATACCAGTTAACTAGACTCTCTCAGACCGTCAGATGGCTAATAACATCCCACAGTAACATCTGCTACTCTCTCTCTCTCTCTCTCTCTCTCTCTCAATTACTGGTTTATAATTAGTGTTGACTTGAGCTGAAATTTTTGAACATTCGTAAATGATGTACATAGTGGTTTGTGACAGTGTTGCTGACCGTTGTTTGTTGTACAACACTAGTACTGCAACACTAGTACTGCAGGCCTGCAACAATAGTACTGCAAACCTGCAACAATGGTACTGCAACACTAGTATTGCAGGCCTGAAATACTGGTACTGCAACACTAGTATTGCAGGCCTGCAATACTGGTACTGCAACACTAGTACTACAGGTCTGCAACACTAGTACTACAGGCCTGCAACACCAATACTATAGGCCTGCAACACTAGTTCTGCAGGTCTGCAACACTGGTACTGCAACACTAGTAGTGCAGACCTGCAACACTAGTACTACAGACCTGCAACACTAGTACTACAGACCTGCAACACTAGTACTACAGGCCTGCAACACTAGTACTACAGGCCTGCAACACTAGTACTACAGACCTGCAACACTAGTACTACAGACCTGCAACACTAGTACTACAGACCTGCAACACTAGTACTACAGGCCTGCAACACTAGTAATACATGCCTGCAACACTAGTACTACAGGCTGCAACACTAGTACTACAGACCTGCAACACTAGTACTACAGACCTGCAACACTAGTACTACAGGCCTGCAACACTAGTACTACATGCCTGCAACACTAGTACTACAGGCCTGCAACACTAGTACTACATGCCTGCAACACTATTTACTACAGACCTGCACACTAGTACTACAGGCCTGCAACACTAGTACTACATGCCTGCAACACTAGTACTACAGGCCTGCAACACTAGTACTACAGTCTGCAACACTAGTACTACAGGCCTGCAACACTAGTACTACAGACCTGCAACACTAGTACTACAGGCCTGCAACACTAGTACTACAGGCCTGCAACACTAGTACTACAGGTCTGCAACACTAGTACTACAGGCCTGCAACACTAGTACTACAGACCTGCAACACTAGTACTACAGGCCTGCAACACTAGTACTACAGGTCTGCAACACTAGTACTACAGGTCTGCAACACTAGTACTACAGGCCTGCAACACTAGTACTACAGGTCTGCAACACTAGTACTACAGGCCTGCAACACTAGTACTACAGGCCTGCAACACTAGTACTACAGACCTGTAACACTAGTACTACAGGCCTGCAACACTAGTACTACAGACCTGCAACACTAGTACTACAGACCTGCAACACTAGTACTACAGGCCTGCAACACTAGTACTACAGGCCTGCAACACTAGTACTACAGACCTGCAACACTAGTACTACAGACCTGCAACACTAGTACTACAGACCTGCAACACTAGTACTACAGACCTGCAACACTAGTACTACAGACATGTAACACTAGTACTACAGACCTGCAACACTAGTACTACAGACCTGCAACACTAGTACTACAGACCTGCAACACTAGTACTACAGACCTGCAACACTAGTACTACAGGCCTGCAACACTAGTACTACAGACCTGCAACACTAGTACTACAGACCTGCAACACTAGTACTACAGACATGTAACACTAGTACTACAGACCTGCAACACTAGTACTACAGACCTGCAACACTAGTACTACAGACCTGCAACACTAGTACTACAGACCTGCAACACTAGTACTACAGACCTGCAACACTAGTACTACAGACCTGCAACACTAGTATTTACAGACCTGCAACACTAGTACTACATACCTGCAACACTAGTACTACAGGCCTGCAACACTAGTACTACAGGCCTGCAACACTAGTACTACATGCCTACAACACTAGTACTACAGACCTGCAACACTAGTACTACAGGCCTGCAACACTAGTACTACAGGCCTGCAACACTAGTACTACAGGCCTACAACACTAGTACTACAGACCTGCAACACTAGTACTACAGGCCTGCAACACTAGTACTACAGACCTGCAACACTATTTACTACAGGCCTGCAACACTAGTACTACAGGCCTGCAACACTAGTACTACAGGCCTGCAACACTAGTACTACAGACCTGCAAACACTAGTACTACAGGCCTGCAACACTAGTACTAAAAGGCCTGCAACACTAGTACTACAGACCTGCAACACTAGTACTACAGGCCTGCAACACTAGTACTAACAGGCCTGCAACACTAGTACTACAGGCCTGCAACACTAGTACTACAGACCTGCAACACTAGTACTACAGGCCTGCAACACTAGTACTACAGGCCTGCAACACTAGTACTACAGGCCTGCAACACTAGTACTAAGGCCTGCAACACTAGTACTACAGACCTGCAACACTAGTACTACAGACCTGCAACACTAGTACTACAGGCCTGCAACACTAGTACTACAGGCCTGCAACACTAGTACTACAGGCCTGCAACACTAGTACTACAGACCTGCAACACTAGTACTACAGGCCTGCAACACTAGTACTACAGGCCTGCAACACTAGTACTACAGACCTGCAACACTAGTACTACAGGCCTGCAACACTAGTACTACAGACCTGCAACACTAGTACTACAGGCCTGCAACACTAGTACTACAGGCCTGCAACACTAGTACTACAGACCTGCAACACTAGTACTACAGGCCTGCAACACTAGTACACAGTGACCTCTGAGATCACCTTAGCTATCATAGGGTCAGTGTTGACCTGACACATGTATACACCACGATCATCCTCTTGTACGTTCCGGATGTGCAGGTTCCAGGTGGTGCGATCCCTGTAGGTGACGGAGACCCTGGGGTTGTGGGTGACCACCTGGTGATGGATGGCTTGGATGGCCTTGGTGTCTGCCTTCACCCACCCCACCTGCAATATACAATCATCTGTTAGTCATCCATCTGTAAGAGACAATACAACACAACTCAACACATCAATATACCTGCAGGTATGACAGTACCAGTAACACAAGGATAGCACAAGGTAACATACATCCCCGCCTGGCAGCAGAGGACACAGCTACACTCACCACGCAGGGGAATGACTGCACTTAACGTAGATGTCTAGAAGCATCATCCACTAAATCCAACAACGAGAACTTAGATCAATGTTGTTGACATTGGTACAAAATACCGACAAGTGGAAGATTACCACACATGTGCAATACTTAGGTATCTTTATTGTGGCAACGTTTCGCCCTACAGTGACTTCATCTGTCCGATAAGAACATAAGAAGGAGCACTCAAGCAGGTCTACTGGTTCATGCTAGGCAGGTCCAAGTCACCTACTGGTTCATGCTAGGCAGGTCCAAGTCACCTATTGTCCCATGCTAGGCAGGTCCAAATCACCTACTGGTTCATGGTAGGCAGGTCCAAGTCACCTATTGTCCCATGCTAGGCAGGTCCAAATCACCTACTGGCCCATGCTAGGCAGGTCCAAGTCACCTATTGTCCCATGCTAGGCAGGTCCAAATCACCTACTGGTTCATGGTAGGCAGGTCCAAGTCACCTATTGTCCCATGCTAGGCAGGTCCAAATCACCTACTGGCCCATGCTAGGCAGGTCCAAATCACATACTGGCCCATGCTAGGCAGGTCCAAATCACCTACTGGCCCATGCTAGGCAGGTCCAAATCACCTACTGACCCATGCTAGGCAGGTCCAAATCACATACTGGCCCATGCTAGGCAGGTCCAAATCACCTACTGGCCCATGCTAGGCAGGTCCAAATCACCTACTGGCCCATGCTAGGCAGGTCCAAGTCACCTACTGGCCCATGCTAGGAGGTCCAAGTCAGCTGGTGGCCCAGGGAAGTCAGGTTCAACTCACACCCACCCCACACCATAAAGAAGAATGGTGAAGATCAGAAGAAGTTAGAGGTAATCCGTCCCTCAACCTGGAGTCGATGTAATCAAGACGGACTGATGACAGCGACTCCAGGCTGAGGGACTGACCACCTCAGAACTACATCTTTGAGGGTGACGGACTGATGACGTCGTCTCTTTACATCTACCTAGCATAGGCCGGTAGGCTTAGAACAGTGCTTCTCCTATGTTGCTTCCATTGTTTACCCTGACTTACCTGTGTGTTGTTTATACTGTGTGATGTCCTCTCTCTCTCTCTCTCTCTCTCTCTCTCTCTCTCTCTCTCTCTCTCTCTCTCTCTCTCTCTCTCTACCTGGCACCTGATAGGCTGACACACACCTGTACCACCACCTGGGTGACTGACAGCTGTTACTCGACCACCTGGGTAACTGACAGCTGTTACTCGACCACCTGGGTAACTGACAGCTGTTACTCGACCACCTGGGTAACTGGCAGCTGTTACTCGACCACCTGGGTGACTGACAGCAGTTAATGTCCCAACTGGGTAACTGACAGCTGTTACTATCCCACCTGGGTAACTGACAGCTGTTACTCTCCCAACTGGGTGACTGACAGCTGTTACTCTCCCACCTGGGTGACTGACAGCTGTTACTCTCCCACCTGGGTGACTGACAGCTGTTACTCTCCCACCTGGGTGATTGACAGCTGTTACTCTCCCACCTGGGTGACTGACAACTGCTACTCGACCACTTGGGTGACTGACAGCTGTTACTCGACAATCTGGGTAACTGACAGCTGTTATTCTCCCACCTGGGTGACTGACAGCTGTTACCCTCCCACCTGGGTGGCTGACAGCTGATACTCTCCCACCTGGGTGACTGACAGCTGTTACTCTCCCACCTGGGTGACTGACAGCTGTTACTCTCCCACCTGGGTGACTGACAGCTGTTACTCTCCCACCTGGGTGACTGACAGCTGTTACTCTCCCACCTGGGTGACTGGTAGCTGTTACTCGACCATCTGTGTGACTGATAGCTGTTACTCTCCCACCTGGGTGACTGACAGCTGTTACTCTCCCACCTGGGTGACTGACAGCTCTTACTCTCCCACCTGGGTGACTGACAGCTGTTACTCGACCACCTGGTTACTGAGAGCTGTCAACACACCCGTTAATGTCACTCACCTGTCAATACACTTGTCACTGTGTTAACACACCTGTCACTGTGTCAACACACCTGTCACTGTGTCAACACACCTGTCACTGTGTCAACACATCTGTCACTGTGTCAATACACCTATCATTGTGTCAATACACCTGTCACTGTGTCAACACACCTGTCACTGTGTCAACACACCTGTCACTGTGTCAACACACCTGTAACTGTGTCAACACACCTCTCACTGTGTCAACACACCTGTCACTGTGTCAACACACCTGTCACTGTGTCAACACACCTGTCACTGTGTCAACACATCTGTCACTGTGTCAATACACCTATCATTGTGTCAATACACCTGTCACTGTGTCAACACACCTGTCACTGTCAACACATCTGTCACTGTGTCAACACACCTGTCACTGTGTCAACACACCTGTCACTGTGTCAACACACCTGTCACTGTGTCAACACACCTGTAACTGTGTCAACACACCTGTCACTGTGTCAACACACCTGTCACTGTGTCAACACACCTGTCACTGTGTCAACAAATCTGTCACTGTGTCAATACACCTATCATTGTGTCAATACACCTGTCACTGTGTCAACACACCTGTCACTGTGTCAACACACCTGTCACTGTGTCAACACACCTGTAACTGTGTCAACACACCTCTCACTGTGTCAACACACCTGTCACTGTGTCAACACACCTGTCACTGTGTCAACACACCTGTCACTGTGTCAACACATCTGTCACTGTGTCAATACACCTATCATTGTGTCAATACACCTGTCACTGTGTCAACACACCTGTCACTGTCAACACATCTGTCACTGTGTCAACACACCTGTCACTGTGTCAACACACCTGTCACTGTGTCAACACACCTGTCACTGTGTCAACACACCTGTAACTGTGTCAACACACCTGCAACTGTGTCAACACACCTCTCACTGTGTCAACACACCTCTCACTGTGTCAACACACCTGTCACTGTGTCAACACACCTGTCGCTGTGTGAAAACACCTGTAACTGTGTCAATACACCTGTAACTGTGTCAACACACCTGTCACTGTGTCAACACACCTGTCACTGTGTGAAAACACCTGTAACTGTGTCAACACAGCTGTAACTGTGTCAACACACCTGTCACTGTGTCAACACACCTGTCGCTGTGTGAAAACCTGTACTGTGTCAACACACCTGTAACTGTGTCAACACACCTGTCACTGTGTCAACACACCTGTCGCTGTGTGAAAACACCTGTAACTGTGTCAACACACCTGTAACTGTGTCAACACACCTGTCACTGTGTCAACACACCTGTAACTGTGTCAACACACCTGTCAGTGTGTCAACACACCTGTAACTGTGCCAACACACCTGTAACTGTGTCAACACACCTGTAACTGTGCCAACACACCTGTAAATGTGTGAAAACACCTGTCACTGTGTCAACACACCTGTAACTGTGTCAACACACCTGTAACTGTGTCAACACACCTGTCACTGTGTCAACACACCTGTAACTGTGTCAACACACCTGTCACTGTGTCAACACACCTGTCGCTGTGTGAAAACACCTGTAACTGTGTCAACACACCTGTCGCTGTGTCAACACACCTGTCACTGTGTCAAAACACCTGTAACTGTGCCAATACACCTGTCACTGTGTCAACACACCTGTAACTGTGTCAACACACCTGTCACTGTGTCAACACACCTGTAACTGTGTCAACACACCTGTAACTGTGTCAACACACCTGTCACTGTGTCAACACACCTGTAACTGTGTCAACACACCTGTCACTGTGTCAACACACCTGTAACTGTGTCAACACACCTGTCACTATGTCAACACACCTGTAACTGTGTCAACACACCTGCCACTGTGTCAACACACCTGTCACTGTGTCAACACACCTGTAACTGTGTCAACACACCTGCCACTGTGTCAACACACCTGTCACTGTGTCAACACACCTGTAACTGTGTCAACACACCTGTAACTGTGTCAACACACCTGTAACTGTGTCAACACACCTGTAACTGTGTCAACACACCTGCCACTGTGTCAACACACCTGTCACTGTGTCAACACACCTGTAACTGTGTCAACACACCTGTAACTGTGTCAACACACCTGTAACTGTCAACACACCTGTAACTGTGTCAAAACACCTGCCACTGTGTCAACACACCTGTAACTGTGTCAACACACCTGCCACTGTATCAGTTATATAATCAATTATATTCTCACACTATAATTATATCAAGATTATATTACAGAGTTATACATACACGTATTGTCGTTACAATTATCGTGGATAATAATAATAATAATAATAATAATAAGAATAATAATAATAATAATAATAATAGTCTTATAAATATTAAAATGCTTATTACTACTACGATAATGTCGGGCTAATTATTATTATTATTATTATGACCAATAGAATAATTTAACAGTGGTGGTGTACGGTCCTGGTCCAAACTGTGGTCCATTTAACGTGGGGGTCGGTCCCTGGTCGACTGTGGTCATTAATCAGTGGTGGTCGTCCCTGGTCCGACTGTGGTCCATTTAACAGTGGGGGGTCGGTCCCTGGTCCGACTGTGGTCCATTTAACAGTGGGGGTCGGTCCCTGGTCCGACTGTGGTCCATTTAACAGTGGGGGTCGGTCCCTGGTCCGACTGTGGTCCATTTAACAGTGGGGGGTCGGTCCCTGGTCCGACTGTGGTCCATTTAACAGTGGGGGGTCGGTCCCTGGTCCGACTGTGGTCCATTTAACAGTGGGGGGTCGGTCCCTGGTCCGACTGTGGTCCATTTAACAGTGGGGGGTCGGTCCCTGGTCGACTGTGGTCCATTTAACAGTGGGGG